AGAAAAGTCCCCTTTTCCAACCTGCAACAAATTACAAAGATACTTTAAATTTCGTTTCTGTTTATTTATTGGTTTCCCAATTCGAAAGTATGCCAAGATGAAATTTCCACGGTTTCATAAGGTTTTGCAAGGTCACAAGGCGAACGTGACGCGACGTTTGCAACGAGCGGATTTTTTCCCAGACTTGGTGTTCCGTTTCCCTTTCGGGAAGTAGCCGAGCTTCAATATTTGACCGCGTGGTTCAGCGTCCTGCGGCGGAAATCGTCGACCATTTCCCTCCTGATCCTCGGCCGAGGTCGGGTACAACGCACCCCGAATACGGCCCTCGTTGCCGACGGCGTCCGATTCATCCGGCTCAGGATCTTCGTTCGAGGATCTCGCGGCATGAGAACTTCCACCCAGCTGGACTCGCCTTTCACTCGCGTCCACTGATCGAGCATCGATCGAAACGGTTCCCATGTTTTCCCCGTCACGCTCGTGTTCGTGCTGTGCGCCTTCTGAACGGAACGGACACAATTCTCTTTGTTTTCTTTTCTTTTTTTTTTTCTTCTAAATTTGAGAGATAATTCCACGAGACGAAACTCGATTAAAAATTAGCAACTGCTATTTCGCAATGTTTATCTTTTACTATTGTTTGTATCATCTCCTTCAACGATGCTGAAGTCAATTAAGTATCTATTTTTTTTTTTTTTTTTATTTTAGTTAGGATACCAGCGAGGAGCTCCTGAAAACCGGCGTCGAAGATCGTCTGGCAAACTCTCTGATTCCGTTCATGTCCAAATATCTTTGACAATTTTGCAACACCGCTCGTTATATTCGTACGTTCGATACTTTTACATTTTTCCAAAGGATCGGCGAGGGATTTTTTTCATCCGACGACGTCGCGCTGTCACGCGTCACGTGAACTAAGAACTTTTTCTCACGAGCGGAACAAAGCTTCTCTGGGAAACAGAGAACGTCGCTCGCAACTGTTTATTGTTAAGTTGGCCGATTAACAAATTCCATAGAACCACCTACCTAGGTGGCCATCATTCATCACAATCGTCTGTTATTTATTTAGAAATTGTATTTTCCAGTTAACGAGTCGTGCAACAATTTTCTCATGTCATCAGAAATATTTTACTTTTAAATGAAAACTGAGATGACGAGATCCAATTATACAAAATTAAAAAAGACTAGGCCTCAAGCTCGTTCGACTTTTATTACATCAAAGTATTCATCACACCAAAATTTGTTACATCAAGAAAATTCGAAAATGCGTACAATTATGCGAGATTTTTCGAAACAAGAAGCAGGTTCGAGCTCCGTTTCCTCCTTAATCGGTCCAGGATTCAGATACACTCTTTCGATTCTTCCCTCTCTCCTCTACTTTCAGTTGATTCAATTTAAGACGTGCGAATGCACACAGATTAAACAGAGTCGTTCCCGTGGGATAGTTTCGAAATCCACCGCTCGATCGTTTTCCAAGCAAAGTACGCACGCTGTTCGAGAGCCAGCCATCGGCAAGTTTCACTCATTAAGTAAGGCATTATCCTAGCCTCGTCTGAAGCAACGAGTATGCAATCAAGTGCACAGACAAGGCGGCTCACTTAAATTACTGTGCTCGAGAGTTGTCGAGGCACCACACGTCGTACATATACGCGACGTTAGAACTTGGCTCGTTAACGCGGGAATCACGCGGGCCAACTTCCGAATTTACACGTACGATACACGCCATTTTCCAATCGAACTAACGACCACCGTATCGTAACACCGAGTTGTATTTTTTCCCTTTATTTTTTTTTTTTTTTTTTTTTTTTTTTTTTTTTTTTTTTTT